TAATGGTGCACAATTAAAAACATTCCATGAACGATCAACTTTATTTGAACCAGAAGTAGTAATAGAATATGTAGATCTCTTATCATTACCCTTATCATAATATTAGTATCGTAATACTATTTCCCCTTTGAAAACACTATAAATAGAACACCTCTTTCTGAACTTTCTTTTTAAATTATCACTTTCAAAATTATTTTTATTCTTTTAAAACTCCTCTTCTTAATTCCTTTTATTTTTTATAATGTCTTTACCTGGATGGATCTCGCCAAAATGCTAGAAGATTTATTCTTATATCAACCGAATGGAATAATCTCTTTCTCAATCCAAGGAGTCATAATCAAAGATGATAATGAACAACAACATTTCATTATGACTCAAGAACTCAATCAATATTCAGAATTTCTCAACAATTTTCCCTCTGATGATATTATTACTTTTGAATCACAACTATCTATACCTTCCTCTGAAGTATTCGATTGTTCTGAATTTCTTAAAGACTTTGATGAATCAACTTTCTATAAAGAAATCGTAATTCCTTCTGGACCAATTATTGAAACAACGAAAATAACAGAACTAGCTGAATCCGTAAACTTAATACCAACAATAGAAGTTATAGAAGAACAGCAATCCGAACCAATCGATAATGAATGAAAATTAGAACTTGCGGAAAAAATGAGAAAAAATATATTAATAAATTAAAATTTTTAAAAATAAAGCTAAAATATATAACTAGCATATACAAGTTTCAATATTATTTCTAGGATAATATCCTTGGTAAGTGCAATTACTTTTATAATTTAAGTTGAATTCAGGTAGTAATGTTTTATATTATAAATTCTATCAACTATCATATAGCACTGCATACAGTACCCCGGCACTAATAAAAAACATGTCTCGAACTCGTAATGAAAGAGATATATGAAAATATAATAAGAGATGTACTTTTGCCATAGAATCAGTTCATTATTTATAAAAATCAGGTCGCAAATTTCTTGTCAAAAAAATGGAGGATACTATTTAGTGGAAGGAGAGGGAGTGTTACTGTATGCAACGCTCTATGGTAAACCAAGCAAATAAAAATTTAGCCAGTAATATTATAGAAAAGGACTTTCTTGATAACGATAATACATGTACGTATTACCGGTTAAATTTCATATTTACTTTTTAGTTAAGAAGTTTATAGAATTTATTGAAACATACGTATTGAGTTACTGTATTATTAAAAAAATGAATAAGCAGTGAATTTCAGAAATTTTGGGTCCTGAAAAACAGTACCAATCATTAACAAATGTACACCTTTAAATGGTAAAGATTTATGATAGCAGACATGGATATAACAAAATCCTGAGAAAAGATTCATAATGATGATAATTATTAATAGAACAAAGAATATTGAATTTCTTGTCTAATGTATGCAGTTGCTGTAGTTTGTGGACTAAGCCACCCCTCTGTAGAAAATTTAATTTAGTCCAATATTTCTCTGCGAAATTAACACATATGAAACAAGATTTACTGTTACAGTAGAGGGTATTTTATTTCGCAAAATACGGTATATTAATAAACGGACGTAATAACAACACGGAATAACCATTGTGTTCAGTGATTCATTCATAAGCTATAATTTTTCTCCTTATATTTATATTTCAAGAGTTATATGTAACTATTTTTAAAATAAAGTATGCAAATCATCAATGAGATCAAGAACCAACAAAGTAAATTTTAGAGGGGTTTGAAAATACTTTAGATAAATATGTATATAGAGAAGTTATACGTAAAAACCAGTTTGGTCATTGCGGAACTATCGATTCAATAATTACTTTCAGGCTCATGATCTTAGACTTACAACTTAAAATTTTATTATTGTTAATTTAATTAAAGTCTAAAGTAAAGTAGCCACCATTTTCTTGAATAGTGTTTTATTTTGCTATAATTCATCGTGAATTTGTAGAATTTCTTTAAGATCGATATGCCTTCAATCTCATCCAAATCGGTTTTGCACCATCAAAAAAACTGCTGAAAAAGTAATATATAGAATCAACATTTGTAGAGCCTAAATATTCAACATGAATTTTATAATTAATATCGATACGAAATATTATAAATTTTATATTTAGAAATAAATACACCTGTATCTTTGGAGTTCGGGTGGGTTTTTGTTTTATGTTTTTATTCGTATTGTAAGAATGTTTTGCATCTTCATATCATCTAATTTCTGCTTTTCTAGCAAAACACTTCATTTGTTTTAGGAGAATTTAAAGAGCTATTATTGAATCATATGTGTAGAAAGAAGTTCCTTAGCAGTTGACCTGTTTCTGGAATAGAATCCCAACATTTTTCATAGTAACTTGCACCATTCAAGAACATAATTGGTATCCTTGGTATTTTAGATCACTCCTTTATGGGTATCAATTACAAGGACTACGTATATGTTGATTCGCTCGCCAAATGATCGATACTTCATACATAATCATCCCAAATCTATAGGTTTCCATTTAGCACCTATGAACTAGTACATGTATAAGGAAGTACAGTATTCCATAAAGTTTTCGAGTAGATTTTTTAACCGCTAAGTCCAAACTCGGCAATGAATGTGCTAGTTTTCTTCCAATTCAGTTTTCTTAATATACTTCCGAAGATATCGATATCATTACTATTGAGTATTCATTTGTGGCTGTGTTTAGTTATTCCATCATAAATAATAGAATTATGGTGCACTATAGAGCAGTCTGAATCTATTTCTGAAAAACTTAATTGTATTCTAAAACAAAAGAAAGCAATAAGCTTACACTTTGATTTTTACCTCATTATAAACTAATGTAATTTTAATGATTTCAACACTTCTTTTTTTGGTATAGACCGGATCGTTTAAATTTATTTTCTCCATAACGATAACGATAATCCCACTTGCAATTCGAGCTTTATAAATTGTCCAAAACCTCCTTTTGTAAGATATTCAACATGAATAAATCTTTCCATCTTAGATGGTCGATATCTTTATTTTCATTAGACTTGATACATGTATTCAAAACATTAATCGCATTTATTTAATAACGATAAAGTAATAGAACTTCTATTTTTGTAAGTCGAGCACCGACTGTTTGTTTTATCATTAAAATCAATTTTGTGTTAACGTTAACGTTAACGTTATCGTTATCGTTATCGTTATACGTACGTACATACGTACATGTAATATATTATAGAATTTCACAGACGCAATGTTTGGTAACGTGCATTTGATGTACGTACTGTACGTATTACATGTACTGGTACGTAGTATTAAAAAAGAGCTTTATTATTAATTGATTTTTTTTGCTTCGGCGTAAGCGGATTCATACAAATGTTTGAGTAGACAATAATATTGGTAGGAGATGCGACACTGCTTATAGTACAGTATATACATGTGCATGTACATGTAGAACATAATTGAATTCTAGAATTATACAGTATCAAATAAAAAAGTAAATACCGATATTACAAGAAGTTTGATTATAAAGTGCAATAAAAATTTAGCTTTTAACCAATTAGAATTACATGTAATAGTAATTGGGGACATGCTGCAACAAATGAACATTTTATATTACCAAAAATTTCAAGGGTTGAATCAGGGACCCGGAAAATTTGTATCCAATTTTTCAATTGCCAAATGATTAGCTACAAGTCACATTGTTTATAATTTCTTAATGTTGGCCAAAATCTAAATTTTTGACAAACTTTTATGAAATGAAATCGGGTCCCTGAACCATTATGTGTTACAGAAATGTTATATGACTGCATTGCTATAAAAGGAAATTATTTATTTTTGTATTTCAGTACTTATACTTTATGTATTTTATAATAAAAAAAATTGGCTAAACTAGTTTTATTGTTAATGCAAACAATTTTAAAATAAACCCTAGATTTTAACTCGGTTCTAAAGAATGGGTTATACGAAAAGAATGATTTTAGAATCAGATTTTGTAACTTCAGTTAAACTGGTTCGATTATTTAATATCCCTAGACTCTTTCCATCCTTACTTGTCACCACCACTACGACTCCAATGTCATTCAGCCTACAGATAGTCACACCTTCTGGTCACCCTGTAGGGTCAATGCCTAGAAGCGAGCCCACGTGCTCAGGTTCCTCAACAACGAATACGATTCGATGATTATGATTTTGGGGTCTTAGCACTAACAAGATCATTGGCGTAACCCTCCTTGGGAAAGCTGGCTCACTTCAGTGGTGGACCGGTAGTTAGTATAGCAAGTTTGGTATAAGAGTTGAAAAAGCAAAGGGACTTGCTGAGAATAGGGAGTAGAACAAGGAGAAAAGGAAGCAATTTATATGTTTATTGGGAGTATAGTCCCGAGCGTTAGGAGCATAGAGTTGAACGTAACAAATTTTAAAATTACTTTTCCACTCTATTTCTTTTATCTTTTGTAATATTGGAAGGAATACCTATATTTGGTGGAATGTTTGGTATACTGTTGGCGAAGTTGACTAACTTGTGTTGCTCTTCATAGTATGGACTTGCATGAAGTACATCGATCAGCAAAAATGGTCCTTATTGATTTTGATGATGCGTGTCGATCTCCTTCAGCCACTGCATACACAGCAATGGCTATGGAAAGTCATGCACCCGAGATACCTCTGGTGCTCACGATAAGAGTGTGAATATTTGGTCAGTGGACCATTGACTACAGTCAAAGTTCTTTACAAAAGACCAACTGCCGAGAAGGCATTGGAGTGGCTCACAAAGTCTTATTAATTAGACTCTATCGAATGTTGACAGACAAGAGATAATCATAAAAAATGGATGATACGAGGGATAGAAATTTTCTGTAATCATGTTATCAAATATTACTCGTGTCCTGACGGGACAATAACTTCTCTGTTTTTCGTAACATAATTTCTAAATTCAGACTTGTTTGGTAGAATTTTGATTAAGCAAGGTCGTGACAGAATCATGTGAAGGAGGCGAGAAATATATATATATACATGTATATATAATTATATGTACATGTATATGGAAAAGGTGAATATGGTTGTTCCACAAAAGATAAAATACATTTTTTAGAAATAAGTTGCAATTGTGGTTGCTCATAAATAAGAAAGAACTACATGAAGGCTTTCAAGCTCTCTCTAACTCGGAACAAGACATAGCGGAACAATGAGTGCCAGCCGACATCTTAAAACGGTCATGTTAATAAGGAAACCTTTTACTGCTGAAATCACAATATTTGAAAATGTAAGGGACCATCTGGTGAAAAATGGTATTATATACAAAATTCATGGCAATATCAAGAGAATGCCTCAGCGAAAAACAAAATAAAAATGTTGCTACAGTTGTAAAAAATTTTCCTTAAAGAAATGTAAATCGAGTAACCAAATTGCTTATGCTTTACCAACAGAAATGAGTTATATATTTATTCATTGAGATTTCCTTGCGGGTCTTGAAGATAACAACACGTTTAAATTATTGAATATGATACGTTTTGCAAATTATGACATCAGCTAACATCCCATATTCAAATTATGAATTCAAAAACGGATTTTTGTGACATTTGTCAATGACTTGCAATATAAAATTCGTAGAGAAGAAGCTAAAGATTTACAGTCAACCCTCGTTAATGTAACACTGTCAGTTCGGCATATTTTGGTCATAATAACAAGTTGTCATAATATCGAATATATAATGATCGTTCATTACTAATATACGTAATTATAAAGCAAACTACATACGTACTATGTACGTTAGTGGAATGAGAAAAATGCAATTTTCTAGGGTAAATTTTGTGATTATCCATTTCACGAAATAAATTAGGGAGATAATGCATAATTATCGGTCACCGGGCCATGTTATAATAAAGGGAGAGAATACATACGTAATGCATGCTGTTCGGTCATATGTCATACTAAAAATGAGAGCAAAAAAGACTGTTATTGTTTGGATTAACCAGCTTGGTCATACTAACGCGGATGTCATAATAACGGGGTGTCATATTAATGAGGGTTGACTGTATACGTACAAGCCAAAGAGCGAAATTATTACAATAAAATACCAATTGGCTGAAGAGCAAAGAAAACTTATTGATCAGAATTATTCAAAGTTAGAAGATATGACCATAATGCTGGTGGACAAAATAAAAATAATACAGTCATTTGGTTTTATTTATATTTCATAATTTATTATGACATTATCAAGTTAAACTTCATGGTTACGTACTAGGATACAAAATTCAAGTGTAATGGCAAGTTTGGATTGATCAAAAGTCTAATCATGAACTAAATAAAACTCAAGGAAAAAGATTTTTAATATTTTGGAGATTTATTTTAAGAAGTTAAATTATATTCAAAAATTCCAGCATTCTGTTTTTGATACTTCTAAAAAGCTCAAGAAATCGTTAGTGAGCCTTTTTAAATTACAGTCAGAGCTCAATTTATTGATGAATTACGTAGTAATCAAATATATAGATATCGTTAAAATGCTAAATCGAGGAAATATTTAGACATTGGTAAATTGAGCGTGATTTCAACATACGTAGTGATCTGGAAACAAGAGTCATTAACTCACGATTTTATTAAATAATATGCATTGAAGAGTCAAGCGTCAATAATATTTTTATAAAATTATTCATCCATTTGTAAGAGATGAATTTAAAAATATCATTTATCCAAGATGATTATGATTTTAAAAATTGATCACTAGCTTTCTGTATTTTTAACTTAACCCAAAGTACAAGCCTGCATCTGATGCAATTTTATTCACTATTTAAATAGTTTTTCATTTTTTTCCTGGGCTCTTGATAGTTGCATTAATATCCGCTTATTAGTTTTCACTTTCTGCACTTGGTAAATCTCATAAGTAATTATTTCTTCTCTAAATATTCTTTAATTGTTTTCATAAAATATATAAGAAGCAACTTTTTCACTTTGTTCTTTTTTTAAAATACTTCTAATGGTGCTATAATTTTTGGTTTCCATGGTGGACTTGATACATACGTATAAGTATATAGGGTAACGTACAATACGTATGTATTGTTCAGAACGCGCGTTATTGGGGTCGCTATTATGCAACTGGTTAGGTTACATGTACACTCTGAACCCTAAATTTTTGTGGCTGCTGAATTTTCCATTTAAGTACATGTAATACCGATACGTATGTTGTTATCAATCAACTACGTACATGTACGTACACTTACGTTACGTACCGGTATTGCGAATAAGTGGAAATGAATGGATAAAAAAGAAAATTTAACTGTAGCTTTCAAACAGTCTTTATTTAAATAACGAGAACCACGTCGAAGAGGTATTTATCATATCTAGAGGAATAAACTAGTAAACAAAAGTCACGTTATTTCTTAAAATATTTCTTAGTTTAAACTTAACCACAGCAAAAATATATATATTTTTTTTACGGAATCACTACAGTAAATAGATACATAATTGCAGTTCATGATTAAATGCATAATACAAATCTTCTCAAATGACTTTTAAATCAGAATTACATATTGTTATGGATGACGGAAATCTCTTATACACAATTATTTCCAACTTGACTGGTAACGGCAAATTAGCTATACAACTCGCGCAAGGATTAAGAAGTATACATAATTCATCATAATTTGGTAGGCGACACATAATTAAATAACTTATTATATAAAAACTTGTATTAATTGCGATTTTTTTTTATGCCAGGATCGTAATAATCTCATCTATAAGGGAAAAATTAAAGTTGCAAATTTAGGCTATTCGGACGAAAATTCAAAGAAAAATTACGGAGTATTAGGTTGTATTGATTTTGGTCATATCTAATCCTGATAAATACGTCGAGTTTTATCAAATATGTAAATCAACGACTTAATGAACTCGAATGGTCATCAGAATCAAGCAACGTGACGTTCCAAGAGTTATCATATCGTATTCAAAGAAGTTGAACCAGATTTTGATATTAATTTATCCGTCGAAGATGAAAACAAAAAGAATTCAGAAAACAAATTCAAGTAGAATTGGAAATTTCAAACGACGTTAACAAAAATATCGACGAATTAGTAGTTACTCAGCAAAGAGGTTCCAAATTCGATTGTATTGCGACATATACAAATATACATTTGTAATTCAGAACTATAAGTTACTTTTAGGATTTCTTTCTCAAACAAAAAGGATGTATTAGCATTGAACATTTATGTAGCGTTACAACTATTCAGCTCAATTTTTTCTAGCGCTAGGATATGTCTATCGGAACACAAAAAGATGAGAAAAAAGAATTCGAGTGGTATTTGAAATCAGCAGAAGGGTGAAAACACAAGAGGAAAATGTAATTTACTAATATCTTTAGAACACCGGTTCCTTCTGTATAACAGACATTGTCTTAAAGCTTCTCCATCCTCTACTGATTTCAAATACCACTCGAATACTTTTTTCTCATCCTTTTGTGTTCCAATTATTTTTTCCGCTCTTTTTTTTTAATTTCCTTTTAAGTCAGAACTTTTTTTACATTTGCCTATTTACTATTTCAGAATACATGTAGTTTCTTTTGATTGTATAATTTGAATTTACGAAATCTACTTTTAATGCGTTGACTTCCCCTGCATAATAACGATGAAGGGTACCTTTTTGTTTATACGGTTAACGTTAACTCCAGTTAATCATTGACCAGCAGTAATCGATTACTAATTAGTTGCGATTAATAGGCATTTACTAATTTTCACCCGAAGTTTCTATTGGTCAGAGGAGATCCCAATCTCCGATTGGACGAAATTGGTGG